CTGTACAAAAACAGAATATCATTTTCTACTGATGTACACATGTACATTTATCATTGATTTCTGAGACTAATACAAAATAGCAATAACATAATTGTCTGGTTTATCTGTTTTCACCCTATTCAGCTTGTTAGAATGGTAGCAGTAGTCCAGGGAAAAATATACTTAAACAAATTCGGGGGCTACTTTTCAAGCTTGCTTGCATGAAAATAACACTCATTATTTTGTTTTGCATTGAACTCAATGCAGTGTGGGGGGGGGGGCTCTTTTATGACTTTCGGGGGCTCTTTTTGGCATTTCGGGGGCTAATTCGCCCGGAGCCCCCGTGTATTTTTTTCCCTGAGCAGTACGCTTTAAATATGATGAAAACTGTTATTAATATATAAGCAGAAGCAAAATTATTAATACATTAACAATTCTAATCTGAGTGAAAGTGAAATGGAAAATACATGCACGTTTGTAATTGGAAAGATAAAAACTAATGAAAATATACATTATGCATTTGATGACCACATGCAAGCAATGAGATAAAGTATGTACATGAATCAGTAGCTAAATTCATTAGGCATGTAATGACAAGACAACATAATATAAGGCCCATGCAAATTGTAAGCAAAGATGGAGTCAGGTCTAAGTTTTTCATAACTCTTTTTTTTCTGTTGGCTTTTAATAAGAGCTCATGATGATTTGGGCAGATTTCATGAATATAACATTATTCATGAACAAGGGCTTGAAATATATTACTCAGAATTGTATTTTAATTGATAATGACACAAAAGACTCATTCGAGCTAACCAGTGGAACATGATCATTTTCAATATTTGTGCACCAGATTTGCACAGAATACATTCAGTCACTCAAGAATCTATTAGCTTTCTGTTGACATAACAAAATAAAAATATCTTTAAGTGAAAGATGCACAACAAGCATGACCATGCAAATATACTTTGGAAAATAAAAAGTGCACATGACCAAGATATATTATACTAAACTAGTAGGCCTACTCTGGTGAAGCGACTTGAATGTACAATTTAATGTTACATATCGAGGGGTCAGTGACACAAAGACGTTACTCCATTTTGGCCATTTTGAGAAAAGTGGTTTATGTGTCACTGAGCACTTGGGCCTTAATAAGGAGTTAAGTCTGTTTCACTAGCCATTGACTTCAATTGGGGTGTTGGTTGGAGTTAAGTCTTTTTGTTTCCTGGAAAGCCCACTTTTTTTTCTGAACATTTTGATATCAAATACTCATTTTGGCAAAATATGGAGTTACGTCTTTGTGTCACCGAACCCTTGATATACAGTACAGTATACACAGTTATGTGAAGTTTTGTTTGTATTTCAGGATGCTGGTGGGGCACATACATGTACACACAAATGTCATAAAAACAATGTGGTAGTGCAGCAGGGGAAATTAATTCATAGAGGTGAAGGGGCACTTGCTCTATGAATATGAGTCAGATACATGTAGCTAGGGGGCAATAGTTCTGCATGTACATGTCTAGAGGGAAGATGTCAAGAGGGAAGATGTCAAGAGGGTACATTTTCAGAGATGGTTTACATTTACAATGTATGATGTCTCAGAATCACTGTCAGGACACCTCAACTTCCAATAGACCCGTTTAATAATTCTATGACAATTTGTTTATAAAGTTTCTCTTCACAACAGAAAAGCTTGGTAGAGGCTTGCCCAACATAGCAACATCTAATGTATGCAAAGTGGATTTAATCCATAGAGATACTATTGTGCAATGTGCATAGTAGGGGAATCAAATATATGTGCTCCATAACAAAGGGTTCAGTAGAGAAAGTGAGAAACAAGTATGAACTAAAAATTAACAAATTTATTTCCCATGACCATGCATGATGTTATGAACAGTACTTTAATACAACATGCACATAAATGTTTTTTAAATATTTATTCTCAAGTTTTTAAATACAAATATTTAGAAAAAACTACACGTAAATAAAAATGAAATATAATATTATCATTTCAAATTCATATATGGAGATTTACTTTATCTTGACTTTGGATGTTACTATGATGTTGCAATCACAATATAATTATACAAATGTAGCTACTCTGAATTTGTATTCACCGTTTCACTTACAGTATATGCATACATATATAGATGTACACATACATTTACATATACAGTACAGTACATGTGTTTATGAATGATATTCAATTGAGTTTTCCATTGAAAAAGAGCCAATAAATTAAGTCACTTGATGAAATACAAATTCCCATTACGACTTGTCTATCAGCTGTCTACATTCTATACAATCAATAATGGGTCTCAATTGGCATGAAATGTAATTTGCATCTTAAAGCCCCTCTGAAGTGTTGGGAGCCCCAAAATTTGATGGCAAAATTTCACTGAAGTTGTATCATAATGTGAAAGAGGGATGTCATTTAAGACACACTTCTGCAAAGATCCCCCCCCCCCCAAAAAAAAAAAAAAAAAAAAATCAAAAATCAAAAATCAAAAATCAAAAATTGGGTTTTCTGAACATTGTAGGCAGAAAACCAAACTTGTGTAAATTCTTTCATCAATATTCAACTTCAAACACATTTGTTTTGAAAATCCTTAGAGATGTGTCTTAAATGACGTCCTCTTTCATATTATGATACAATTGAGTGAAATTTTGCCATCAAATTTTTGGCGAATTTGGGTCTTCCAACACTTTAGAGGGGCTTTAAATTGAATCTACATACACATGTACATGTACAGTATGAGAATATAATACACAATACATAATACATTTTTAATGCAGTGCTCTTTCTAAATGGGCATCAGCAGTTCCGTATAATGATATGCTGCAAGGTTCTTTGTCGGATGAGTGAATTTGGGAATTAAATGGCTGTATTTTTTGTCAAGCTAAATGAATATTGTCAGCAGATACATAAATGTAGCATCGATGATAAATGGTTCGCTAAGCTACATTTACATACATGTACATTACAAGTGATAACAAACACATATCATGCAATAAATACACTTTTGAAGCAGAAATGAAGTGAGCATTTCAAGCATTCCATATTGAGTGTGAAGGCGGTGGATAAAAATGAGTTTCATGAACTTACCTAGTCAATGTTTTTAATCTCTTTCTTCTTACAGTATTCTAAGATTCCTTCATTCAAAACGGACATAAAGATAGAGTGATAGGTTAGCGATGGAAACAGCTTTACATGGAATGGTGCATGGGATATAGAAGTTTTTTATGATACCACTAAGTTCTTATAATGGATCCTGAAAATGTTAATGCTTCACAAAATATACCGTATTCGGAATCGCTTTACGAAATGAATCAGTATGATTTACATGTATCATCTTTTTCCATGTTTGTTTGTTTGCTTCTCAGTATGGAATCATTCAAATGTATAATTAGGCTGGGAAATAATTCATCACAAACTGCAGATATACATGTAAGGCACACTTTTTGAGCTTGCATTTATTCATAAGGTTACTGATTGATTCATTGAAAGAAATGTAAAGCCAATGTGATGTGAGATCAAGCATACAATTTATCTGTCAAGAGCCAGAAGGGCTTTAACTCTGATACTTTGTCACAGAGTTAACGCCCTTCTGGCTAATTAGCAGACAAAATACAGACAGGTTCACTCAGCATGACAGTAGGGACTTTTAGATTTGCATGTCAACATAGTGGACTGCTACGTGCGACGTCCTTTTAAGGCACACGTAGCAGTCCACTAGGGCAAATCTAAAAGTCCCTATTGATGACATTGAAGCCATGGCATCATGTCTTGTTGAAACCTTTGAATTTAAAAAAAATATAAAAGGTAATAAGGAATTAGCGAATCTCACATCAGCTATGATTGTAACTGCGATAAATGAACAATGTTATCAATTCTGACAATGCAAAGCATATTTAGTGATCAGCACTGATTTCAAACTCTAGGTAGAACAACATACAAATTAAGAGTTTTAATTTATTAACCTGATTATAATCCAGTCAAAGGGAACCTATAAAGAGTATTCACTGTATTTATCATGATTTCAAAAACTCAATGATTCGCTACTAATATCATAATTACATGTACCAGTTACAATCATCATCACCATCATCATCCTCATCCATTGCATTATTTACTGTGTAAATAATTTTCTTATATTATGAAAAAGACTAAATGTATAACAATTATAAACACATTGCAATCATATAATCACTATTTTAATAATTATATTCCATATCCTGGTACAAAGTTGCAAACCAAAGAACCAAGAATGTACATGTATGTAGTGCCATTCAGATTTGTCAAGTTAACTATTAAAGCAAACATGCAATAGACACTCACTGGTTGCTTGGCTGTTACTGCTTCCATTAGCTTGGATAATCTTTGTACTTTAAGCTGATTAAGATCAATATTTACACATGTATTATATCCTAAATAGTTCCTACTTTAACTTGTGTACTACAGTAGTTAGAATTAAGGCCTCCATCACTCAATATTTCATATTGATATTCCTTGATGAATGATAAATCTCCAACATGATTTTTTGGAATAATTAGTGGAAACAACCCAACAGTACATGTACAATAATGCTTGAAACAAGTTTGTTTTAATATTTGATAAACAGAAAGAAAATACAACAAATATAAATTTCAAGCAAGAACATACATGTTGTATGTAGATCAGGCTGAATTTCTTAAATACCCCTAGAAATTAATATTTTCACCTGCTGAAGAAAGTGTGGGGCAATAAAGCTTCAGATTAGTAATGTACGCTCTTCCATAAAAAAAATCCTGTTCAATGCCCTCTTTCTTATAAAGAAATAGAATAACAAATATTGGAACCAAACAAACTATTATTACTGAAAAATTCTCTGTTTTATCAATGAATACACTGATGTGCAAAATATAATTCTTCAAACATCTGTAGAACCCAGATTTGGCATGGAGTTTGAGGGAATAAGTTCTCTAAAATATTTGAGGCTTTCTAATCTTGAAAAGGTCAAATACCTTCATTGGGTATGTCACTACATCAGGATGTAGTGAAGAAATGTGCATTTCTTATATAGTTTGAAGAGTCTTATTATGAGACTACCAGTGTCTTAATATGCCTACCAGCATATCTTGGAGGCTATTGTTTACTTTAAGATTATACGAGTCACAGAGACAGGAAGTTCTTTGTTCTTCTCAACCTATGTTCTGGGAGAAGCAAACTCCAGTCATTCTGAATGTCGAAGTGATGCAGTAAGGTCCGAGTTACATAACATTGCAGCAGAAAGTTTTAGTTATTTTGTGGAACAAACTACAGGCCCAATTCGGTAAGAATACGATATCTATTTCTATATATGTTATTTGATATACTAGAACGCTAGGATGAATCTTAATATAATCTCAGTTGAGTTTGGTAGAATTTTATAGGAGTTTCGTAAAGATGATGTTAGATGTTGTACCTAGCTTTTAGGAGTAGACAAAGAGATGAGTGTGTATAATGTATAGTGTAGAAAGCCGAGTTCTTTGTCTTTGTCAGCAGAAGTTACAGTACATTTTAGTGTTTCAAAGTAGCAAATATTCTGCAACGATGTAGGTGATTACTGATTTATTATATATAGTTCATGTCGATTTAGAGCAAAACTAAGTGTTTAGGAAAGAAACAATTTTCTTTGTTATAGTTATTTAGCATAGGAACTTAAGTGACCAACCGCATCTGAATGCGGCCCTGTTCACACTCATGTACCTTTGCTTGTGTGTACTGTTTAATAGTTTACTGCATAGTTTCAATGCAGGGTGTGTTCACATAGATATTTAATCCAGTTTAACTCTAATCTTGTGTCATATATTAATGTGTTGTAATCAGTATCTTTAATTTAGCTATAGGGTTTTTATATGCTTACATGCTGAAACATTTATTCATTATTTGTTTGTTTGTTTATTATCATTACAGATTGTTATCTGAAGGTTTACCGGAGATAGTAATTAACCTGAAGGTTGTACCGAAGATATGAAAGTGAAGTTACGAGTTGCTGAATAAAACAGAAGTTGGTTGGACTTTAGCAAATTGTTTCCAGTGTTAATTTTCATCGGTGTGCCTTGTGAATAACAACAGTTGGATTTATTGTTAGACGAAACTCCTTCATATAAAGATTTATGAAGGCAGCCACAATAACAATCGAAGTCTGTTATTCGAAGTCGAATAACAAGCGAAGTTTCACAATAACGAATGAAGTTCGAATGACAAACGAACATCAATTATAAGACTTTTTGCAGCCGTTTAATGAACTTGTAAGCAGACCTAGGTTTATAAAGGCCTGAAGTCATGCCTTTACCAGAGCCTGCAGTGCAACGTGAAACGACGACAGAGAGGAATCCCACATCGAAGGCTAGAAGTCTAGCTGGTGTTAAGTTCACCAAGAGCGATGTGGAAGCAGGACAACATGATGCAGTCATCATGAAGGCTACACGTGTAGCGAGCTTACGGATGTCTATTGAGAGTATGAGGTTAGAACTAGCTATCATGGACGAGGAGGACAGGCTCGATGCTCTAAAGGTTGAGCAACTAGAAGAGCTAATTGCTAATGAGGAACGAAAGCTCATACAGCTGAAGCTGAGTCCGCTGAGAAAGAAGCCGGCTGACAAAATAAATAGATTAGAAAGAGAGGAAGAGAATGACAGCTCTGAAGCTGTCATCGAACATGTCAAATTGCCAAAGGAACAGCCAGGGGATTCCGTCCATGGATTGGCAGTTGGCACAACAACACCTATTCTTGATAGAACTTCTAACCAGACAGGTTTTGAAACGATGGCAGAGTCCATGGCCCATGTGCAACAAAACGTGCTAACGCAGAGACTTGCTGTTGCGAGTCAAGTTCCAAAGTTGGAGATACCCGTATTTAGCGGCGTTGCTGACGGTCATGGAGCCAAGGACTGCACTGAGAGGAAGGTTTGCAAGATTTGTGAAGGGTGCCCCCTTGCCTGTCTGCATCAGCCAACCGAGAACCAGATAAATCCACCCGAGGAAGCTGCATCCAAATACACCAATGTCTGCGCTCCTCAAGACCAAGATGAACAGGAGCACTGTATGATTGTGCCAGACTGGGTGAGGTGCAAGGATGATCAGCGTAATGTAGGCTTCGTTTCGGACGAACTGTGTGAGCAGTTAGGAGTACAGGGAACTGCTACTACCTGCAGGATCACCACCATGCACGCAACAGCCAATGTCAGGAGCATGAAGGAGAGCGGTTTACAGGTGTTGGACTTCAATAGGGAGAACGAGATTGACCTACCCCCGTGCTTCTCTAGAGAGTCTATTCCAGCTAGCAGATCCCAGATCCCAAGAAGTGAAGGCTTGAAGGAGTGGCCTCATCTTGAGCCAGTTGCTCATGAGTTGATGCCATACAACAGGAGCGTCAAGGTATCGCTTTTAATTGGAAATAACTGTCCCCGAGCCATCCGCCCTCGAGAGGTGATAGCAGGAGGAGAAGATGACCCGTATGCCATTAAGACAGCACTCGGATGGGGAGTAGTTGGCAATGTCTGCCAGACGTCGGTGCAGGAGGATGGTGTTCAGATCTGCAATAGGATATCTGCAATTGAGATGCAGCCAGAGTTTGCCTATGAGAGTAAGGCCAAGGAGATCATGGACACTGAGAAAGGCATCCAGTTTCCGAAAGATGGCTACAAGGACTCAAGTGCAGATGGTGAGCTGTACTCCGTGGAGGAGATGGAATTGAAGGAGATCTTGGAGAGTGGTGCCCGCAGATGTGACAACGGCCACTATGAGATGCCATTACCTCCGAAGTCTGCAAAGCCAAACCTTTCCTTCAACAAGCCACTTCCCTTGAAGAGATGGAAGCAGCTGCCTGGGAGGTTGCGGAAGAACCCAAAGTTTGGTGGAGACTACAGAGCATTCATGGATGACGTCATCCAGAATTATGCACCGAGAGTATCTCCAGCAGTTACAGCCCTGTCAGAAGTGGACACGAATGCAGCGAGACCTGGCCATCAGCGATGTAGTCATCGTGAAGGAGACTGCGGACGTCCAGTGGCCTCTGGCAAGGGTAGCAGAAGTTTTTCCTAGTCAAGACGAACGCGTTAGAAAGGTAAAGCTCCTCATGACTGATGGAGCTCTGGACAGTATACTGAAGAAACCTCGTTACCTTAATAGACCCGTCCACAAACTTGTGTTACTACTACCGGTAGAAGCTTAGAATAATTAGTTCTGTTGTTAATAACAGAGGTGTAAGACTAATTGCGATCAGTCATTTTCTTTCTATTTCTCTTTCTTTCACAATCACTTTCTCACTCATTCCCTCTTTCTAGATTTCTACCTTTATCTGAGTTTCATGACTTTTACGTTTTTGTTGTCTTATCTTATTTTGCAAACAAGTTTTGTCATTATCACGCAGAAGACAGTAGGGATTCCCCCTCAAGGAGCCTTTAACTTATTGTTGTATAATATGTTCCTGATGTCAGGAGTGTCTTCATTTAATGTTTTTACTAATTTACAATACGTATGATTATGTATTCATGTGGTCATCAACGGAAGGGGTTGATTAAGTATACTTGATATACATCTAAGTTTAACTTTGTGTATTACACTAATCGGGATTGTTTATCAAGCAGTATTTGGAGCATTGTTGGGTAAAGTTGATTTCTCTTAATGTTCTCTTAATGTTCATGAATGTTACATGAAAGATCGTTAGAGGTTAATGTTGTTCCTTGGTAGTAATAGTAGTGCAGTATGTCTATCTATGTTGTAGCGTAGTCTTAAATTTGGATATTAACAGTTATTTAAGTAAATGTTACTAACATTTAAAGGAGCCATGTCACTACATCAGGATGTAGTGAAGAAATGTGCATTTCTTATATAGTTTGAAGAGTCTTATTATGAGACTACCAGTGTCTTAATATGCCTACCAGCATATCTTGGAGGCTATTGTTTACTTTAAGATTATACGAGTCACAGAGACAGGAAGTTCTTTGTTCTTCTCAACCTATGTTCTGGGAGAAGCAAACTCCAGTCATTCTGAATGTCGAAGTGATGCAGTAAGGTCCGAGTTACATAACATTGCAGCAGAAAGTTTTAGTTATTTTGTGGAACAAACTACAGGCCCAATTCGGTAAGAATACGATATCTATTTCTATATATGTTATTTGATATACTAGAACGCTAGGATGAATCTTAATATAATCTCAGTTGAGTTTGGTAGAATTTTATAGGAGTTTCGTAAAGATGATGTTAGATGTTGTACCTAGCTTTTAGGAGTAGACAAAGAGATGAGTGTGTATAATGTATAGTGTAGAAAGCCGAGTTCTTTGTCTTTGTCAGCAGAAGTTACAGTACATTTTAGTGTTTCAAAGTAGCAAATATTCTGCAACGATGTAGGTGATTACTGATTTATTATATATAGTTCATGTCGATTTAGAGCAAAACTAAGTGTTTAGGAAAGAAACAATTTTCTTTGTTATAGTTATTTAGCATAGGAACTTAAGTGACCAACCGCATCTGAATGCGGCCCTGTTCACACTCATGTACCTTTGCTTGTGTGTACTGTTTAATAGTTTACTGCATAGTTTCAATGCAGGGTGTGTTCACATAGATATTTAATCCAGTTTAACTCTAATCTTGTGTCATATATTAATGTGTTGTAATCAGTATCTTTAATTTAGCTATAGGGTTTTTATATGCTTACATGCTGAAACATTTATTCATTATTTGTTTGTTTGTTTATTATCATTACAGATTGTTATCTGAAGGTTTACCGGAGATAGTAATTAACCTGAAGGTTGTACCGAAGATATGAAAGTGAAGTTACGAGTTGCTGAATAAAACAGAAGTTGGTTGGACTTTAGCAAATTGTTTCCAGTGTTAATTTTCATCGGTGTGCCTTGTGAATAACAACAGTTGGATTTATTGTTAGACGAAACTCCTTCATATAAAGATTTATGAAGGCAGCCACAATAACAATCGAAGTCTGTTATTCGAAGTCGAATAACAAGCGAAGTTTCACAATAACGAATGAAGTTCGAATGACAAACGAACATCAATTATAAGACTTTTTGCAGCCGTTTAATGAACTTGTAAGCAGACCTAGGTTTATAAAGGCCTGAAGTCATGCCTTTACCAGAGCCTGCAGTGCAACGTGAAACGACGACAGAGAGGAATCCCACATCGAAGGCTAGAAGTCTAGCTGGTGTTAAGTTCACCAAGAGCGATGTGGAAGCAGGACAACATGATGCAGTCATCATGAAGGCTACACGTGTAGCGAGCTTACGGATGTCTATTGAGAGTATGAGGTTAGAACTAGCTATCATGGACGAGGAGGACAGGCTCGATGCTCTAAAGGTTGAGCAACTAGAAGAGCTAATTGCTAATGAGGAACGAAAGCTCATACAGCTGAAGCTGAGTCCGCTGAGAAAGAAGCCGGCTGACAAAATAAATAGATTAGAAAGAGAGGAAGAGAATGACAGCTCTGAAGCTGTCATCGAACATGTCAAATTGCCAAAGGAACAGCCAGGGGATTCCGTCCATGGATTGGCAGTTGGCACAACAACACCTATTCTTGATAGAACTTCTAACCAGACAGGTTTTGAAACGATGGCAGAGTCCATGGCCCATGTGCAACAAAACGTGCTAACGCAGAGACTTGCTGTTGCGAGTCAAGTTCCAAAGTTGGAGATACCCGTATTTAGCGGCGTTGCTGACGGTCATGGAGCCAAGGACTGCACTGAGAGGAAGGTTTGCAAGATTTGTGAAGGGTGCCCCCTTGCCTGTCTGCATCAGCCAACCGAGAACCAGATAAATCCACCCGAGGAAGCTGCATCCAAATACACCAATGTCTGCGCTCCTCAAGACCAAGATGAACAGGAGCACTGTATGATTGTGCCAGACTGGGTGAGGTGCAAGGATGATCAGCGTAATGTAGGCTTCGTTTCGGACGAACTGTGTGAGCAGTTAGGAGTACAGGGAACTGCTACTACCCGCAGGATCACCACCATGCACGCAACAGCCAATGTCAGGAGCATGAAGGAGAGCGGTTTACAGGTGTTGGACTTCAATAGGGAGAACGAGATTGACCTACCCCCGTGCTTCTCTAGAGAGTCTATTCCAGCTAGCAGATCCCAGATCCCAAGAAGTGAAGGCTTGAAGGAGTGGCCTCATCTTGAGCCAGTTGCTCATGAGTTGATGCCATACAACAGGAGCGTCAAGGTATCGCTTTTAATTGGAAATAACTGTCCCCGAGCCATCCGCCCTCGAGAGGTGATAGCAGGAGGAGAAGATGACCCGTATGCCATTAAGACAGCACTCGGATGGGGAGTAGTTGGCAATGTCTGCCAGACGTCGGTGCAGGAGGATGGTGTTCAGATCTGCAATAGGATATCTGCAATTGAGATGCAGCCAGAGTTTGCCTATGAGAGTAAGGCCAAGGAGATCATGGACACTGAGAAAGGCATCCAGTTTCCGAAAGATGGCTACAAGGACTCAAGTGCAGATGGTGAGCTGTACTCCGTGGAGGAGATGGAATTGAAGGAGATCTTGGAGAGTGGTGCCCGCAGATGTGACAACGGCCACTATGAGATGCCATTACCTCCGAAGTCTGCAAAGCCAAACCTTTCCTTCAACAAGCCACTTCCCTTGAAGAGATGGAAGCAGCTGCCTGGGAGGTTGCGGAAGAACCCAAAGTTTGGTGGAGACTACAGAGCATTCATGGATGACGTCATCCAGAATTATGCACCGAGAGTATCTCCAGCAGTTACAGCCCTGTCAGAAGTGGACACGAATGCAGCGAGACCTGGCCATCAAATTTGACTGAAATCACAAAATGGAAGGCCTGTAACATTTGTTTTTAGTGCCGCCTACTGGTACATAAACATGTACATGTATTACACAGGGTAAAAATAGAAACTCTGGATAGTTTCACAGCCAACCAAATATAAACTGGTTTCTATTATTAGTAAATTCTTTGAAATGAAACAAACATTTGTCATCACTGAATTTTCCCCCTTTTAATGATACTTACAATTTGTACATGTACTGTATCTATCTCTCTCTCTTTTAGTTTAAGCCATATTGACATAACCAGGATGAAATTTGCATAATGGAGTAACTAGCAGGCAGGCATCTATTTCTACCTAATGCCCTGAGTGATGGTGTACTGTACAGTAGATCCACTAATTCTATTGACCCATCCAAGTTGTGTCAATATCTCTGCATACCGTGCTGTATATCATCACTATATGCAAGGTGCATACTGTGTAGACCTTTCAGTCTTAATCTCAAATGTATGATGTACTGTATGATGTATGTGAGAAAAGAAAGATCCTTCCGTAAATTGACATGAAACACGAAAGATGACCTTTGTTTATTCCATAAGTAATAGTTTAACTATGCATACATGTATCTCTTGGGGATGCAAGAAAGGGAAGTACCATACTAAAAATTAGGTCTTGAAAAGTTCTTTAGCCTTTGGACTTTGAAGACTGGTACAGTGGAACCTTGTCAGTCATTCAGGTAACATTCCTCGGGACAATGAAAATTACTAAAAAAAAAATGTATATTTCATTGTCAGAAATTATAGAATACGGTACAATAAAATGGAAATGGCAAAAATGCCTTGCTGTTGTATCAAATGGTTTTTCAATTCAATTCAATTCAATTCAATTTAGGAGGAATCATGCAGAACGAGGAATGGTGTTTTACAAAAGGAGGTATTGAAGCATACTAAAGATACAATTTTATCCTTTAACAGGTCTACAGCCCCCCCCCCCCCCCCCCTCTAAACTAATTTAATAGAGTCATCCACATCCCTATCATGTACTGTATACTAGTGACTAACCATAGAGCGGTTAGAGCCTTACCTTGTAATTTATTCAAAGCTTCATGCTTATACTCACTACCACTCAGAAATCTATGAAGCATAAAGTACAAGGTCACCTGTTCTCACCAACCATACATAATACACCTGTACATCTACCCTCTAAAATACATGAAGGTATATAGAGGCAATCAATTATGAATAGCAGAAGAATTATAATCTACATGATGTTATATGCACTGTAAAACCAAACTAACAATAATATTGTAGGCCTGGATGTTTAGTACATACATGTACATGTATGTTACAATGTTACTAGACACGTTTAAAAAAATGCAAAATAAAGCTTTTTTTGCTGGAAGGACATTCTCTATTCTTGTTCTCCTGGTTGATTTCATATTTCAAAGAGTTAATTAGTTAAAGGGAACCAAAACATTGTTAACATTTCCATATATATGACCACCAATGAATGACACGCAACTACTGTTGGGGATTTAATATTTCTATAATGCAAATAAAATATGAATCTTAATTGGCATTAAATCAGAGAAAAAAAGCTTACCGGAATTGGAGAAGTGCTTGGTGCATGTCTCTGCAAACGCAGTCTTTTATCTTTAATATCCAAATCCTCCATACTATCACATGATATCACTCCATTGCATGGTTGCCTGAGCTGAAAGAGAAGGGATTAAAAGATTCTATGACATTGTTTACATCCTGTTATGATAAAGATGTTTATACCAAAACTCCCTGCTTGAAAACATACATAATAGGATACTAGTACAATACGCTAAACTGTGCTGATGATTGATGATATGACACAAAACCAACATTTGGACTGGAGTAGATAACAAACTGCCTTGGTGTGTGTTGAAATGAAATTATGAAAATTATTCTGGAAGCTAGAATTTATTATGCAAGTACAATAGTACATGTACAGAATTACATTGTTCAAAGAGTTGTTTACATCTCCCTAAATTCTTTAAATCTTTAAAAAACAATACAAATGTTTCACAGGTAATTAATGAAATAGGAAACTTTCTTCACCGTTTCCTTCATTATTTCAGCTTTGTTTTGACGATTCTTAAAAAACTGAAAACTGAAGCTTTCATCAATCCTCTCCTGGTTTCCTCTATCCAGGGATATGTGAGTTTAAATGGATACCCCATCTAAGAGGGCCCTTTGAAGCACTGCGAGGCACCGACAGTCTTTTTTTCCCCTATCATAATCCCCTTAATCCCCCTCCCGGACCGCACAGCTCGTAAATCTCACTCCCGAAACTGAGTGACATAGGGCTCGCGAAATGCATTGTTGGAAATAGACATCGGCTGCTATCAACAAAAATGGCGGCATACAGTAGGGATGAGTATTTGCTAGGCGACGATTTAGACTTTCTGACTGGTTTTGAGGAAGATTTAATTTATGAGAAGTTGGAGACCAACACAAGTTTAATATGCACGTGTGAAATTCCATCAACGGAAAATCTTAATCGTTGCAGCAAACCAGAACGTATGGTTAAATGGTTTCATCGCAAAACATAGATAGTTGATGCGTATTGACTACTAGCACTGCAGTACGTGTAAATAGGCAGCATTTGAATACATGAATAGTCAATACACTCACGACATACAAATGCACATAATTATACCGATGCGGTTGATCGGCAAGTTTGACAGTAGACTCACGATTTTAATTTTTTAATTATTCTTTCTAACATCGGAAAGTTTAAAAAAATGTATTTTAATGCTCTTTAGGTGTCATCAATCGTCACTAAAGTACTGACTTTGAGTGAAATCAGTTGAGTTTTGTACAGTGGTGTTTGAAATGTTGAGAATCAATTGCACAATTTTTAATATACGGCCAGGGTAGTAATGCAGCTGTGTGTGTTTCCTCCCACAACATGCAGCATGTACAGCCCAGCGAGCACGGCGGCTTGCGCGTCGCCTGCCCGTACTCGGGGTGAAAAGTGGTGATGAATTGACAACTTCTAACCCTCATTAAACCAAATGCGCAAATATACAACACAATTTCATTTA